GGGAAGCTGGGGGTCCTGGAGCCCAGGGCTGGAAGGAATGGAAGGGCCAGAGGCCAGAGGCAGCCTGTGGCACCCAGGTGCCCAGACCTCCCCCCACAGTGAGGCCAAGGGTTCTCATAGCTGTAGCTGGCAGGGCCAGGCAGAAACCCAAAGGTATGGCCGCGGGGCCAATGACTATGCAGTGTGGGGCTCTGTCGCTTAGCTGAGTCCCAGGACCGGCAGGAGGGCAGGCTGGAAGGGACTCACCAAGGGTGCAGGGTTCCTGGAGTGGCCCAGCAGCAGCAGAGGTGGCGGTGGTGGCACTCAGCAGCAGGGCCTGGGCAGCGCTCCGAGCGACTGCATGTTGCCGCGATGCGCTATGGGCTGCTTTGTCCGCCTGGCGGGCAACCTGACCAGCTAGGGTGGGGGGTGACAGCAGCCCCGCGATAGGGGCTAGAGCAGCAGCCCCAGCCGCCACTTCCCTTGCGTGCTTGCCGGCTGCCTCTCCCTCTCACTGGCCCGCCGCAGCACTGCTGCTTTTTATTTCTACATCACGTTGGGGGGGAGGTGCGCCGCAGGGGGCAGGAGGGTGACCCAGGCTCTGCGCCCCGACTGTTGGGCCCAGCCTCTGGGCTAGTCGCCCAGAGCCACCAGGCACTGGATACATTCGCTGTGCTCATCCCCAGGCCAGGCCACTCTACTCCTCCGTCTCACCCCTGTTCTCCAGGATGCAAGCTCAGAAAGCCTGCCATGTCATTCTGTGTTCTGGGGCTGTCCCCAGGGACCCTCTCCAGCCATAGGCACACACACACTCACACGCAGGTACACATGCCTGCTCCTCCTTCCTCAGCCCACCACCCGTAGTGTTGAGAAAAACACACCCACAGGCACACTAGCATCAGTGCACACAGCTGTGAGCGTGTGCACGGCCGGCAGGCCCAGACAGGTACCTAGGTTTGTCTGTAGGGGAGCCCAGGGTCTCCAACCAAGGAGTGTACTCTTCTAACCCATTCCAGCTGCCTAGAGAGGGTGACCGTGGCCTTGGGCCCAGAGAGAAAGTGCTTTGCCTGGGAAGGACCGGAAGTGTGTGCCTGATGCCCAGGTGTGCCTCCAGGGTGAGAGTGAGTCCTTCCCCTGTTGCATGGCACCTGCTGTCTGTAGATATTGCTGCATCTGGGAGTAACAGTGCCTTGTGTGTGCTTATGTGTGTAGCTCTGTATCTACATCCTGTGGCCTGTGTGCATTGTTGCTCACGGAAGTGTTTGCAGAACTGAGCAAGTTAGCGCATCCATTTCTTCTGGTGGCTCGGGGGCAGTGTGTGTGTGCCAGCAGTGCACACAGGAGTGTGTGTGTCTGTGGGACTGGATGTGTGTCCTGGGACGAGGTATCCATGGGATCCTCACCTCTGTATGGGTTCGGCAGTGGGTATTTCCACGTGTTCATCTGTAAACTAGTGTGTGTCCCTGCATGTGACTGTAGCAGCGTGTGGGTCCCAGTGTGGATGAATTTGTGTGAATATTACTGTGTGTATCTTCAGTAGTGTGTACCTGGTTTATCTGTGTTTTCAAACTGGTGTGTGTGTGTGTGTGAGAGAGAGAGAAAAAAGAAACTTGTGTTGCAGTGTGGATACTCATGTACGATTCTGCTTATTAACTGATGAGTTTTGGGAGTGTTTGTGTATCTGGGTGTGCATTCTCCTGTGTGTGTGTGTGTGTGTGTGTGTGTGTCTTTTTTTTTTTTTTTTTTTTTTTTG